GAGGCAGATGAAGCCTCACGAGACGAGGTATCCCACTCACGATCTAGAGTTGGGGGCGGTGGTGTTCGGCCTCAAAATCTGGCTCCACTACTTGTACGGGGTTAGGTGTACCATATACACGGACCACAAGAGCCTGAAGTATCTCATGGATCAGCCCAACCTGAATATGCACCAGAGGAGGTGGTTGGATGTGGTGAAAGACTATGGATGTAAGATCCTGTATCATCTGGGCAAGGCTAACGTGGTAGCCGACGCCCTGAGCCGCATATCAGAGTATGCCTCGATCCGAGATGTGTGTATGAGGATGACAGTGATGACTCCGGTCTTGGATACCATACGAGAGGCCCAGGCAGAGGCCGTGAGACCAAAGAACCGCAAGAGGGAGCAGGTGATTGGACAGGTATCCAAGTTTGTAACGGATAGTAGAGGGCTTATGACCTTCCGAGGGCGGATTTGGGTGCCCTATACGGGTGGAGCTCGGGGTATATTGATGGAAGAGGCTCATATATCGAGATTCTCGATCCATCCGGGGGCCACTAAGATGTATTTAGACCTGAAGAGAGATTACTGGTGGCCCTGTATGAAGAGGGATGTTGCTTGGGTAGTTGAGAGGTGTTTGACTTGCCGCCGGGTCAAGGCAGAGCACCAGCGACCACATGGTCCATTGCAGCCTCTAGAGATTCCCCATTGGAAGTGGGAGAAGATCTCGATGGATTTTATCACCAAATTGCCGAGGACTGCGCGTGGAGTCGATGCGATTTGGGTGATTGTGGACCGACTGACGAAGAGTGCTCGCTTCCTTGCTATTAGCGAGAGCTCTTCTGCGGAGAGGTTGGAGGAGATTTATGTGAGAGAGGTGGTAGCTCGGAATGGGGTGCTAATCTCTATCATATCGGATAGAGACGTGCGTTTCACTTCCAGGTTTTGGAAGAAATTTCATGAGGAGTTGGGCACGCGCCTACATTTCAGTACTGCGTATCACCCACAGACAGACGGGGAGAGCGAGCGGACGATCCAGACGCTCGAGGACATGTTACGTGCGTGTGTCATGGACTTCGGAGGAAGTTGGGACACCTACATACTGTTGGCCGAGTTTTCTTACAACAATAGCCACCATTCGAGTATTGGTATGCCTCTCTTTGAGCTTCTTTATAGGAGGAGGTGCCAGACTCCCATTTGTTGGGGGAGAAGTGGGTCAGCAGGGTGATGGGTAGCACGGAGATAGTGCTGAACACGACTGAGCAGATTCAACTAGTCAGGCAGAGGTTACTGACAGCCCAGAGTCGCCAGAAGAGTTATGTGGATAGGCGACGATCCAAGCTAGAGTTTCAGCTCGGAGATTTTGTACTCCTGAAGGTATCCCCATGGAAAGGGGTGATCCGGTTCAGGAAGCGAGGCAAGCTGGGGCCCCGATATATCGGTCCTTTTAGAGTGACTGCCAGAGTGGGTAGGGTAGCATACCAGTTGGAGCTACCCGCGGAGTTGAGTCAGATTCATAACACCTTCCATGTGTCCCAGTTGAGGAAGTGTGTAGCCGATGAGACGGCAGTAGTACCGCTAGAGGACATTCAGGTGGATGCGAGCCTGAATTACATTGAGAGGTCGATCACGATTTTAGACCGAAAGGTGAAGGTTCTGAGGAACAAAGAAGTGCATCTGGTTCAGGTCCAGTGGCAGCATCGGAGGGGATCCGATTTGACTTGGGAGCCGGAGTCAGATGCGGGAGCAGCATCCTGAGCTATTTGAGGGGCATGACTTCGATGGCGAAGTCTGATTCTAGTGGGGGAGAATTGTAACATCCAGATTTCCAGGTATAATATTTTTCTAAAGTATTTATTTTGAGTTGTGGAGTGACTCGACGAGTTGGTGCCTCAACGCGTCGAGTTGAGTCGCATTCGGTGACGTGGATTAATGAGGTGACTCGACGAGTCTGTGAGTTGACTCGCTGAGTCAGTGCTGCTGATGGAAACCCTAAATTCGCGAGTTTGTGCCCTATTTAAGGACACTTATAGCCTCCATTCTGTCTCACCAGCACCCTTACACCCTTGAGAGAAACCCTAACGTCCTTAGTGAGCTTGGGTAGAAAGGATAGCTAATCTTGTGATCTTTTTGGTTCATTTTCTAGAAGAGGAAAGGAGTTTCATCACAAGAGCAAGAAGGAGGAGCCAGTGGATCTATTCTTCTTCATCTCAGGCTTGAGTTAGAGGTAAAAAGCTTTTACCTTTCCTGGTAGAATGGTTAGATCTCATGTTCTTGAGATTTAGGTCTTGCATCACCTATTTGTTGGGGATTTGAATGCATCAAACCCCTTGTTAAGTCTAGACCTCAGATATGGACCTTGTAAGGTCCAGAGAGTCCGAAAGTTCAGAGCTTTAGTAGCCCAAATGAGGAGATTTGCATTAGGGAAACATTAATGGAGTGATGGTGGCATATGGAGCAAAATATGCCATGCATGACCATCAAGATCGAAACTTTACGTAACTTTTGGACATTGAGAGGCTAGATCTAGAGATTGGAGTTGCAGATCTGATTTCAAGTGCCCAAATATGGAACTCGATTGGATAGACTCGTCGAGTCTATAGGAGGACTCGACGAGTCGTGTCGGGTTTGTCCCGACGTTCTTGACCCAGTGATACTCGACGAGGTGGGGGTCTTACTCGACGAGCAGAGAGAAATCCTAGCAAGACCTCCGAGGACACGAGTGGACTCGGCGAGTCACATGGGTGCACTCGGCGAGTCAGGTCAACTCTGACAGTTGACTTGTATCGACTCTGTTGACTTTGTAGATGAGTCAATTATGAGCATTCGAGACCATGGAGGGGTAAAACAGTCTTTTACCCATCCCAAGTGTTATAAAGGGAATAAGAGAACTTGTGGTGTTCCATAGTAGGAATAGGTATTGATTAGTGATGCATGTCTAATGTGTTAGGCGGGGGCTAGTTCGCGGTTTCCGAGTACGTGTCTATTACCTGCTAGCTACGAGGTGAGTCTTCTCACTATACACATATAGAGTGGTAATTAGAGTTATGTGACTAAAGTATCTGGCATGATTGATTGTGATATACTGCATCATTCCTATGTGATTTATGTTGTGTATTGTTCAGATTTATGACCGAAAGGTCCACAGAGTTAGGACCGGTGGGTCCACCAGAGTTATGGGACTGGAGGGTCCCACTGAGACACATTGACCAGAGGGTCTCTCAGAGTTATAGCCTCGAGTGGCTAATGCATTACTTGTGGTATTTTTGGGAACTCACTAAGCATACGTGCTTACAGTGTTATGTGTTATGTGTTTCAGGTACTACCGATGATCGCGGGAAGGCACCGGCTTAATTGTACACACACAACCGAGATGGAGTTATATTTGTTTTTGGATCCTGGTTTTATGATAACAATACTTGAAAAATGTTTGATATTGAATTTTTGAAGTTTTGGTGAATTGTGACATGTGAATTATTGTGATTGAAATTTTTAAAAATTTGGTTTAAAAATTTACGTCGTTACAACATCTTTAAATGTTGTAAACTTCTTCTTTCCTATGGTTGTGGTTCAATTTCCTAAGATTTGCAAACTGATCCTTAGTGGGTAAAATGATTTTAGTTTATTGAAATCTAAAATTGGTGTCGTTGCTAATCACATCAAGTTTGACTCTATAATTAGACTTTTTTTTTGAATAAAACCCAACAAGAACATATCCACACATCAAAACCTCTTCACTATCAGTCTATCATAAGCCATTTCCGTCAAGAATCGGAACATCTGAAAATGTTAATCTCGGATGTGGCAAGTACCATATTTCGGAACCAAGTTAAAATAAAGGGGGACCATTGAACCCGGTTGAGTGCCCGGCTAATATCAGGTCCAAAATAATCCCACGAGAGAAGTTGGTTATTTACGTAAAAGATATAATTGATTGTTATTTCCTTTGAGTCTAACTTTGAATATGGTATATTTATAAAATTACCAAAAAATTTAACTCGTGTGTATCAATCACATGTATTAAAATTGGATTAAATTATTCGAATGGTCCCTATGGTTTGGGGTAATTTGCGCGTTTGGTCCCTATCATATTTTTTTAATTCGGAAGGTCCATACTCTTTGTTTTTGTTACGCTTTTGGTCCCTACTGTTTGTTTTTGTTACAAGTTTGGTCCCTGCTGTTTGTTTTTGTTACGTGTGTGGTCTCTGTCTTAACCAAAAATATTATTATTTAAATAGAAAAAAATGGTGTGGTAGGTAAGGTAAGGTGAGGGGTTGGGGTATGGAGTGTGTTTATTTAAATAAATTAACAAATCAATGGAAAAATAGTATTTTTAGGTAAGACAGGGACCAAGCGCGTAACAAAAATAAACAGTAGAGACCTTCCGAGTTAAAAAAATAAGTTAGAGATCAAACACTTAAATTAACCTAAACCATAGGGACCGTTCGTGTAATTTACTCTTAAAATTGGGATATAACTCCATTTTGGTTCAACCAAAATTATGTAAGTTGATATATGTAGTTTAAGCGGAAAAAAAAAAGTTCTTTGATATAACTAAAATGATGCGTCTATGCGATTTAAATAAAATGATATATTTATATTAAAATTCTTTATGACCATGATCGTAACTAGTAGTTAGAAGTCTTTAATAACGAACACACAAAAAATGATAATATTAATAATTTTTCATGATTAACAGACAAATTCAACAATTTGCGTATTATTTAAAATTTTAATTTATAAAAAAACTTAGAAAAATACCATGACTTCCTTCTTGGAATTAACATCTACAAATTGCCCAGTTTGAAATATTTTATAGATTTGGGACCCCACGCGGCAAAAGTCTTCGTCTCTTTCATTGATTTATTCTTCCACTTGTTCTTATGTAATGGTCGGAAGGAAACTACACAGAATCAACAACGAAAACCCTAAGCTTTTGACCTTTTTCGACTCAAGTTCTTCATATATCCACCCTTTAATCACCTCCAATCATTCACCTGTAAACATCCCACACGAGCAAGATGAATCAAAATCATGTTATCACAATAGCTGAAGAGGTGAAGCTCATGAACACCCAAATGAAAGAATCACCAAAATTACTACACAAATCAGCTGGAAAGGACACTTGTTGCATATTCAGAGTTCCCCAGAGTCTATTCGAGATCAACAAGGAAGCATATCAACCTCGAATCGTCTCAATCGGCCCATACCACCATGGAAACAAAAATCTTGAGATGATCCAAGAGCATAAGTGGAGGTACCTGAAAGATTTGATCGAAAGAACAGGTAAGCCAATTGATTTTTTCTTGGGAATCGTAATGTCAATGCAGGATCAAATTCGACAAAGCTACTCAGAATCTATTGATCAATTTTCCGCCAATGATCTTGCTAAAATGATGGTGCTTGATGGGTTTTTCTTGATTGAATTATTCCGAAAAGTTGGAAAGTTGGTTGGGACTGATAAAGATGATCCCATTTTCAGAATGGTTTGGGTGTCGCCATTTTTAATGAGAGATCTTTTGAGAATTGAGAACCAAATCCCATTTTTTGTTCTCCAAAAGTTGTTTGATGTATCTAAAGATGTGTCTAAACCCGATGATCGCACACTTTCAACTTTAATCCTTGAGTTTTTCAATTACACAGTTGATAGGCCAAAAAGGGTACTAAATAAACTCAAGAATCTTGAAGGCAAACATTTACTAGATTTTTTCCGAAAAAGTTTTATAAACTCTACAGAAAATAACCCTGACAGGTCCAAAACCTCGTCCCTTAAACTTATCCAGCCAGCAACCAAACTCAAGATCGCTGGGGTTAAGTTTAAGGCAAGTCATGAACCCGATAGCTTCTTGGACATTGAGTTCCGAAATGGTGTTCTTTTGATTCCTCAAATAAACATGGACGATTTTTACAGTTCGTTCTTTTTGAATTGTGTTGCTTTCGAGCAGTGTTATTTTCACTGCAGGAAACATATTACAACTTATGTTGTGTTCATGGGATGTCTAATGCACACCTCGACTGACGTGGGTTTACTTTCGGAAGGCAAAATAATTGAGAATTATTTTGGTACGGATAAAGAGATAGCGAAATTCTTCAAAAGTGTTGGGAAAGATGTAGCTTTTGATATCAAAAACAATTACTTGTTGGGATTGTTTGTGGAAGTGAATGAGTATTGCAAGAATGGGTGGCATGTGAATGTGGCTGGGTTTAAACATACATATTTTGAGAGCCCATGGGCTGCAATTTCGGCATTTGCGGCCTTTTTGTTACTTTCTCTTGCGGCTTTGCAAACAATTTATACTGTCTATCAGTATTATCACACTAAGAAAGAGTAGAGATTGGTGGTCCGAGGGTGTTGTGAATGTTGTCGTTTTAAGATTGAACTTATATTTGTAATACATTCATTTATATGTATTAGTTTCAACGTTTTTTCCATAGGTTGTAAGCTTCATAGACATGTTTGTATATAACATTCTTGCTACATTTAACTTGTTATCCTTTTCTTAATGATATTTACATGCTATGTTATGTGTATTTCAGTTTTCGAAAAATAAATTTTTTGCAAGTATCAAATTCGTTATGGGACGATATACATGTAAGAATGATTTACCGTTCGAATCCAGAGGTTATAGTGTGAAAAACTTTAGCTCAAGAGAAAGAATAGCCATAAGAAAAGCACAGAAACAGAGCAATAAACCCTAGTTGCTTTCACTCCTTCAATCATTTTTCAATTTTAATTTCAAAAAAGCTGCCATTGCTACTCGACTCCCATCTCGTTCTGGAACGATTTTTTCCTGTTATCTGCTTCTATAAGATGAATTCTTACTGAAATTCGAAACAAATTTGTGTTATCTTGTTTCAAAAAATTACTAATTTCTTTAACGGATTACGGAACCATTAGCTTGGCTAACGACTAACGATATCCTCACCCAAAAGATCAAGTTCACAAATTTAATTGAATGCAGAAATTTTCTATAAGTTAAATCGAATGCAAATCTTTTTTCATTGTATCATACTGTTTTTAGACAACTATCAAAATATATTGTTTCATTTTTGGCTTGCGTGGTCCTAACTCCTAAACCCCTATAAAAGGTCCTTTTTACCTTTTTAAATTTACTTTAATTTAATTCTAATATATTTGAAATTTATTTAGATCTTAATTTATTTTGTTCATCGAAACACCTACTAAGAACATAGCTCGATATTTGTGGGTTTGATCCTCAACACAGATTCCAAGTATTTTGGGTTTGATCTTCAACACACACATAAATTTCAGATTGATGTGTTTGTTTTGAGAAATTAAATTGTCTCCTGCCTTTTATACTTACAAATATTGCTACCTACTAATTTTACCAAACGATGTCATCATTCTACAATTCAATTTAATTTTATTTGATATATTCCTAATATACTCTTAATGAGATAGTTAAGTAAATATGGAATGATGACGCGTGTCATAATGTTAGTGAGTAGGAATATTTATAGGCATAAAAGGTAAAAGGCAATTTAACTTCTCGTTTGTTTTTCAACACACACAAATTCTGGATTTATGAGTTTGTTCTTCAACACACACACACACACTCGTAAACACATACACACTCAAGAACACACTCGATTTCAGATTTCATTTCTGGGTCTGAATCTCAAGGATTTTCGTTTATGAAAACCCGAAAGCCTTTCAACACCCCAAATCCCTTCATTGGTTTCATCGATTTTGTTTCTAATGTTAGAATCAGAGGTGAAGAAGAGGAGAGAGAAATAGAGGTGAATCAGAGGTAACAAAGAGAGAAGCGGTCTCGTTTTCATTTATGAAAATCGTCAAACCCTTCGAAACCCTAAAACCTTCATTGATTTCGTTTCTGATTCAATGGTTCTAGAGAGAGAAAGAGAAGGTGAATGCGAAGAGAGATATATGGGAAATAGATATGATGAAGGAGGAGGAGATATGTGGCGGAGATTGAGATCTAGAAAGAAGTCAACGATGCGGAGGTTGAAAGCGGCACTAGTGATGCAGCGTTAAGGTGGCAATGTGAAGGTTTAAGGTGGCGCCAATGATGCAGCATTAAGGCGGTGATGTGGAGGCTAAAGGCAGCACCGACGCTTTTTGGATGGGGTGGTGGTAGCTGGTGGTTCTTAAATGAATAGCGAAAGAGGACGAAGGTGATGGTTTATGTCAAGATTAGATAAGAGTATATTTTTATAAGAACTAGTAAAAAAAAGTCCATGCTACGACGCGGATTTGAATGAAGTGTTGTTATATGATGACATGATTAGCATTTTAAAAAAACATTGATAAAGTTATAGAATATGAGACATGTTTTCCATTATGATACATTTAAATCTTCATCTCTCATTTTCTTTAACAATAACCTTTACCATTGAACGAATTTTTTTTGTATAGTATTAACTGGGCACCGGAAACAACACTTAAAAAAGTAACAACATAAATTAATAAAGTGAAAACTGTAAAAAAAACCAAAACCAATAACAAATACATTATTGCTAATTTCGTAAGTCATGAGTATAATTGGAAAGGAGAAAGCCATCTCACACAGTGTATGTATAAACACCATAAAAGTTGAATCTCGCCAATGCAAGAAGAGGGTTGGATTGTATTGTTTTAAAGTATTTTGCTATTCTATTCAATTCACCCATTTAAAATGTTATAATAAGAAATTTTTGAAAGTATAATGCCATAATTGGATAGGATTTTCACATGACAATGTGAAACCGAGGTAGTATGCCATAAAAAATGAATTTACATTGCTATTTCTTAATTTCATTTGAAAAATTATAAAAAAAAATACAAACACACACAACTCACTTTGGAAGGTACATCCCTATCATGCAAGTCCAAAGCAAATGAGCGTAGTTGAAACAATTTCTTAATAACATCAGTACAGTAAATGGTTAAGGTAATCAAGAAAAATATTTTAATTTTTACCTGGTCTAGAGTACATGTTGAGCAGTCAAGGGATTAAGATTTAGGCACACCTTGACGATCTGATTTGTGTCTGTAACGCCTAGTTCCTGGTATGTATTTAATTAAAGATTTATTCACTTTAGTATAGAAACTCGACGAGTTGGAGTCCCCAAACTTGTCGAGTAGGAATGGAATTGGACACGGATGTAAAGTCTACTTGACGAGTTGAGAGCCCCAACTCGACGAGTAGGACTGGCAGAGTGAAACCCTAATTTTCAGGGTTTTGTACCCTATTTAAACACCTTAATCTCCAAAGGTTGGCCTCATTTACAGCCTCTAAGTCCCAAACCCTAAATCTCGAAACCCTAATGCCTTGTGTGAGCTTGTGAGTCATTTTTGAGAGAAAACTTGTGCATTTGAAGCTTGTGGGAGAAGAAGAAGCTTGAGGGCTCTAGAGGAAGTGAGCAGATCCATAAACTTCACTCAATTTGCAGCATTTTCTTGTAAGCAAGTCTCAAACTTGCTTAATGATTTCTTAGATCTCTTCATCTTCACTTTTATTGAGTTTTTAGTCCAAATATCTTGATCATTAGGAAATGGACCCAAGTGAGTGTACTTCCAGATCTAGGGCCTTGAAGGGCTTTCATGGCATAAAGGTGCAAACTTTATGGCCATTGAAGCCCCATGCAAGCTTTAGGGTGTCATTTTGGCCTTTTAAGCTCCAAAAGGTCATGCATGGAGAGAAAGTCAGAGACTTTACATGTTTATGTAGTGTCTAGGGTCTAGATCTCAGTTTGTATGCCTTAGCTTGAAGTATTAATGACTTTTGGGTCAAGATCAAGGTCTTAAAGAGTTAGGGTTTGAGCTAAACCCATTAAGGAAGGGTATTAACGGGTAAAGTTGGAAACTTTACCCTTAAAAGGACATTTTCAGTATATATATGAAGTATGGCGATTAGATCTAAAAGATATGGGCTTAATCTATTAAGATAGCTTAACAGACTGGAGAACTCGACGAGTTGGGTCGAAATGCTCCGACCCCGTTGAAGGAAAAAATCGACGAGTTCAGGACAGAATCGACGAGTGGAGTTGGAAAGTCTCGATTCTGATGATAGGAGAAACTCGACGAGTTCGTGAGGAACTCAACGAGTTCGTGATGATAGGGTTTCTGATTTATGGAACTCGGCGAGTCGATAGGTCAACTTGGCGAGTTGAGTCAACCCATATGTTGACTTTGACCAGAATGTTGACTTTGATCAGGGGTAAAATGGTCTTTTTACCCTAAGAAGGATTTTTGGATTTTGACTAAGTGGTATTGTGATAATGATAGCCGAGGAGTCGTTGGAGCAGCCGTTAGAGATTCCTTACCGCGAGATTCCACAGTCAGCTTTGCGATGTGAGTTTTCCTCCTGTAGGAACGGGTCGAAGGCACCAATGCCGGCTCGTTTATGTATGTAGTGTGTTCCGGACTAAGGTCCGATGCGGGGAAATGCCCGATGTAGGTTTATATGTTTCCGGACTTCGGTCTGATGTCGGGGAAAACTCGAGGAATGTTTGTATGCTTGACGTCTTCGTGATTCTTGCATGTGCTTGTTTTATATGTTTTCGGACTTTGGTCCGATGCCGGGGAAAGCCAGAGGAATGTTTGTATGCTTCCGGATTTCGGTCTGATGTCGGGCGGGGCCGAGGAATGTTTATATGTTTATATTATGTGATTATGCTTATATGTATTTGTTCATATGTTTATATGTATACCGAGCTTTGCTCGATGCCGGGCGGGGCCCGATGACGGATCTCGGTCCGATGTTGGGCGGGGCCCGACGCCGGACTTCGGTCCGATGCCGGGCGGGGCCTGATGTAGCGGGCAAGGCCCATGTGTGTTATTATGTGATTATATGATTATGTGTATGGTATGTGGTAGTTTAGGAAGACTCACTAAGCTTCGTGCTTACAGTTTTCAGTTTTGGTTTCAAGTACTTCTAGTAGCAAGGGGAAGAGTTCGGGATGACTGCAGTGCACACACCATTGTTTAGCCTGAGATGTTTATACTCTGATACCTTTGACATATGTTTATGTTATTTTGAGATATATGATTTATGGTTTTTATGTGATGAATTGTTTACTATGGTTTTCTTAATGAATTAAAACCAAAATTTTTGGACCGTATTTTTTGGATGTTACAAGTTGGTATCAGAGTCTTGGTTTGAGGGATTCCGGTACACTCTCGGGTGTGCCTGAACTCAAACTAAGGATTTGGTATAAGATTTTTAAAAGAAAAACAATTTTTACAAAAAGGATTCTGAAAATAGAAAAATGGTGTAGTGCATGCAATCGGCCGAGCTCAAGTAAGTACTCCCAAATTACCCATACAAGTTTATGTTATGATATGCTTATGAGAACTGCATGCTAGATT